AAGAGACTTGAATCAGAAACAGAGACGTGGAAGCCAATTGCTTGTAAATAACTAGTGAATTTAGCATTCCAAGCCCGAAGAGCTTGCTTCAAACCATATAAGGACTTCACTAGTTTACAAACATGAGTGGGAAACTGAGGATGGATAAATCCTTGAGGTTACTTCATATAAACCTCTTCTTACAATTCACCATGCAAGAAAGCATTCTTAACATCCAGTTGTCGAAGATCCCACTTATGTGTTGCAGCTAAAGAAAAGATTAATCGCACAGTCGTATGTCGAACAATAGGACTAAATGTTTCGGTATAATCAAGCCCTTGTTCTTGACTAAAACCTTGTGCGACCAATCGGGCTGTATATCGAGAAATTGAACCATCACTATTTCTCTTTATTTTATATGCCCATTTACTTCCTATAACATTCTTATCACCAGAATGAGGAACTAGAACCCATGTACCTTGAGTTTGAAGTGCATCAAATTCTTCCTGCATTGCCATTTGCCATTGAGGTATTTGAGATACTTGTTTAACAGTTGATGGTTTTGAAGCATCAACAATATTTGCAAGAAAGGTAAAGCTTCTTGAAAAATTATCATCATCATCAAGAGTTAATGACTGAACTTCAGGAAACATTGCACCGAGAGCTGAATAATCCTGTCTAGTGATTATTCATGTGCGAAATCTTATCTGAATGCCTGAAGAAGGAATAACTCTTTCTAAACTTGAAGAAGATGAGGAATTGATACTTGGCAAAACAACCTAAAGTTGAGTAGGCTGAAGGACATGCAACAGGGCATTAACATTGGAAAGAGTAGCATTGTAACTGGATTCTTGTGCATTATTAGCTGAACTATCATTGGAACATGATTCCTATGCATTATAAGCTGAACTATCACCAGATTGTACCAATGGACTAAGAGATTGACTAGAGGACATTCCAGAATTAATAAGCTAACCTACCTTTGCAGAAGACTAAATTGAAGGTAACTGAATAATTATAAGTCTACTAGTGCTGGAAGAAGATGGTTGACATGAAGTAGTACCAGAATTTCTAGGTATTTCATTGTATGGAAAAATGCTTTCATCATAAATGACATGCCTAGAAATAATGATCTTCCCTGTCTTAATGTTATAATAAATAGCACCCTTATATCCTAGTGAATATCCCAAAAAGACACATTGAACCGATCTAGATTGTAATTTATGTACATTAAAAGGTGTAACATCCCACATCGCCCAGGAAAGTGGATCATGTAAGCCTTATATGTATATTCTCATCTTTACCTAACACGAGGTTTTTTGGGAGCTCACTGGCTTCGGGTTCCATAGGAACTCTGAAGTTAAGCGAGTTCGCGCTAGAGCAATCACATGATGGGTGATCCACTGGGAAGTTCTCTTGTGAGTTCCCAGAAACAAAATCGTGAGGGAGTGGTCGGGGCCAAAGCGGACAATATTGTGCTACGGTGAAGTCGAGCCCGGGATGTGGTGAGTGCCCAGGCCAGGATGTGACAAAAGGTCTGAGATATGGATATATGGCTGAACCAAATACTTTCATACTGGACAATTCTGGTTTCTTGTTAAACAACTGCTTGAATGGTAAACTCATTTGTAACACTTTACAAGGCATCCGATTAATCAAGTACACTGCATAGGATACTGCATAAAACCAAAATTTGTGAGGAAGTTTAGCAATTGACAACAAGGTAATATTTGTTTCAATGAGATGTCGATGCTTCCTTTCAGCCAAATCATTATGCTAGGGAGTATATGGACAGGAGATAAAATGTATAATTCCATTGGTATCCAAAAACTCTCCACCGCCATCAAATTGTAAAACTTTGATCTTGGTATGGAATTAATTCTCAACATAAGCACAAAACTTTACAAATGCATCAAAAACCTCAGATTTATTGATGAAAGGATAGATCCATACAAACCTAGTAGCTTCATCTATAGAGGAAACATAATATATGTAACCTTCACGAGATACAATTGGAGAAGGCCCCCAAACATCACTATGGATATTACAAAATGGAATATCAACTCTATCTGTCCTATCAGAAAATGGTAACCTACTCATTTTGCCACTAAGACAATGAGAACAGATTTTTATAAGTTAATCAGGAACACTAGATATATCTTATTCTCTAAGCATTGTAGTTAATATGTCATTAGATAGGTGACCAAGTCTTTGATGCCAGAGAGAAGTTTTGACAGCATGCCCTAAGAATGCAGAAGAATGCACACCTTGATCCATTAATGTAGGAAAAATATGCACATGAATCTTGAACAACTCATTTTTGCTACTTTTTCCATGGTGGAGGATTGCCCCTGTTGCCTTGTCCTGCACAAAGAATTGAATATCATCACAAATAAACCAACTATGATTGTCTTTACATAACTTTTTAATAGACAAAAGATTAACAGTTAACATGGGAACATGTAAAATCTCTTTAAGATGTAAATCATGTGACTGTGTGTGTAAAACCCCATTGCCAATATTCTGAACTTTCAAAACCTTCATTTCCAACAATGATCTTCTCAATACCCTTATAAAGTGTAGCCCTATCGAGAACAGTGATATATGGAGTCATGTGATGAAAAGCCCCAGTGTCAACAATCCAAGATTCTCCAGATGCATCTGCATGGGTGATCGGTGTACTCATAGCTTGAAAACCAACAGGAGAAGAAAAGTGTTGTGTAGAACCATATGGATGCGAATGAACAGACACATGAAATTGTGGTGAATGAGACATGGTCAAATCAGGTGAATAAGGAAACTGTGGTGAAGGCACATTAAACCCTTGATAGGCATAATTTGCAAATAATGAACCAGGAGGTTGAGACCCTTGATAAGCATAATTGCCTTGATGTTCACGCTTTCCACAGATTTGACACTTTTGAGGATATTGATTGGTAGTACCATCATTTCAATACAAACAAGTGATAGCCACATGACCCTTCCTTGAACAGATTTGACATTCAGGAATTTGTTCAAATCTATTTGAAGAATTACCCTACCAAGGTTGCCAAGTATTACCATTTCTGGACCCATTAAACCTTGGTTTATAACCTCCATTGCCTCGAGGTATGTAATTGTTACCATGAAAAGGCCTTCCTCCATTAGAACTACCATTAAACTGAAAATGATTACCATTAGATGAATTTCCACCATTATAAGTTTGAGCACCACCAGCAAAAGGTTGTTGTGGCAAAGACATGGAAGAAGAACCAGAACTAGGAAATGTGTTATCATAAGGCTGTGAAAACGGAGGTTGAGAACTGCTACTAGAAGAATTAGAGAAACCAGAAGCATTCACAGCCTTACCATGTGGAGAATGAGCATTAACATACATTGCAACCATATTCTAAACTAAAGTTTGCACTCTAGTTTCAATAGTCTTTTCTGCCCCTATTAACTGTGCTCGAAACTTCTTAAGAGTAATTGGTGAGTCTCTAGCTAAAATGACAGTTCTAATCACATCATAATCAGATGGTAATTCAGTAAAAGCAACAATAATTAGATCATTATCAGTTACTTTTTCTCCAGCAGCTTGTAACTTATCCTTAATAGCTTTCAACCGCAAAAGATATTTATCAATTGTATCTCCCCCTTTTTGCATAGTATGTAATTCAACCTTCAAATGATTGATGTTAGCTTTAGAAACTGATATATATCTATCATGTAATGCATTCCAAGCTTTCATAGTAGTTTTACAACCAATAACATGTTCAATTGCATCATCACTTAATGTGGCAATTAGAAGACTCAACAAAGCCATGTTAGTCTTAACCCACTCTTTGTATGAATCATTAATCTCCTTGGTAACACCCAGCTTAGGAGAAAGAACGAATTTTGGAGGACAAACAGACTTTCTCGTGAAATGATCAAGAAGATCATAACCACAAAGAACAGAACAGAATTGATAACTCCATTTGATGAAGTTATCATCATTCAATTTGACGGTAATCATTCCCAGTAGACTTTCAATTTTCACATAAGTCATCTTTGATAGCCGCAATTAACTTGTAGAAATACTCAAACAGTTTACAATCCAGAAAAACCCAGATCTCAAATGAGGTGGCAAGAAAAATCCAGATGAGAAATCGCACAAATCGAACACTACAATCAAGTAAACAAATCAACTACCAACACAATACAGAGAAACTATGCAAGAATAAAAGAAAATCTCAACTTTGGCATCGGCCTTCAAGAATCAACACAATCTTCACAAAATCAAGAATTCTGGCATTAGCCTTCAAACAAATCATCATATATTCTTCATATAACATTCTCATGTGGCATCGGCCTTCAATGTAATATCAATTTCTAAAGAAAAATCTTCCAATCAACTTTGAACAGAAGAAAAATTCAAGAACGTAATCACCTCAATCAGCACGCAGAGCAGCAATACGTGAGCGAAAAACCCAGAAACAAGACTACCGCACGAGCGAGACTGGCTCTTGATACTATGACAACACTATGAATTAAGCTATACAAATCTATAAAAATCAGAAAATCCCAAAAGTAGAACCTTCAGGAAGAAGAAGGAAGAAGCTTTGTGTATTTGATAACTGTTTCCTTACAACATAGCCAACTTTCTTACTAATACAATGAGAGGGAAATCTGTTTTTATACTACATCTCAATTACACCGACTTATGTCTTAATCAACTATTACCTAGGTGGCACTGCTGACATGGTCAATAAATAATAGAGAAAGAAAAAGGAAAAAAAAAATAGAGTAGTAAGAGAGATTATCTCCTCCCCTAAACCCAAAGGCAAAGGGTCCTGCACTTTTTGAGAGCACACCCCTCCCCATATTCTTATTAAAATAAAGGAAAACTTTATTTAAACCCATGCAACCTCTTTTTACACCCAACTTACTTTTTCCACCCATTTAATTTTTAACTAAACTATTAATATATCTTTAAACCCAAATTTAATACCTAATATACCCCCATAAACCCAATTCAAATTGTGGATTTATTTTTACACCCAATGAAGCTGCCCCAGTATCTCCTGGTCACTGATGCACGAGAAATGCTTCATGATGCTTGTACAACATTTTCGGGTGTCCACTACTCTAATCCCTCCCCCAAATCGCTCATTAATTTGCATTTGCTAACAAATATCTTTGGGAAGTTAATGCCTTCGGTTATTGCTGTGGAAGAAAGTCGCCCTGGCGGAGTGAAAAATTCTTGGGATAATTTTACACCTCTGTAAATTGAATGAATTTGGTTTAAGTAACTTGTGCTTATGAGGCGCATTCGTCCAAGACACTAGCTAATTTCAATAAACAAGGGGCTCAATTCAAAGCTTGAAAAAAGCCTGTCATGCCAGAGAGAGTATGAATTGGAAAAGGAATTGAAAGAACTAAAAGGGCATGTTACGGATTTAAAGGCTCATTTGATGGACAAGGAAACAAAACTGCAGAGTATGAAACACTCAGGTTGGAAATCAACAAAAGCCAAAGTAAAGTTAACAATGAGGTAGAGGCGGAAGTAGAAGCTGCAAGGTGTGCAGAACGAGAGGCTCTCGTGAAGCTTGGCATTGTGATGGAGGAGGCAGAAAAGAGCAGCAATAAGGTAGCAAGAGTGGTGGAACATAAGAACCAAACGGAATTCAAGGTTCTTGCAATATCAGTAAGATTTTTGGGGTGTAGTGGGAAACAGATTGCATCAATTTACTGTTGCAAAAAGATAAACAAACTATGAATGATTGATTGAAATTTTGATTGAAAAAAAAATTATAACCAAAATACTCATCTTCTAAACTCTAAAAAATTGAAATTGAACGAATAAAAAATTCATAAATTGAGTCATACCTTGGTTGGAGGATTCAAACCTTCAAAATCACCATCCATCAGTAGAAAAACTTATTTTTCTTTATGAGAGTTTTTAGGGTTTTAGCTAGAATGAACGTATGATAAACAAAGAATGATCGTAGAGTTTAATTATAGTGTTCGGGTTTATTGATAAATTTGAGTTTTATTATTAATTTCATTTTGTACTTAATAGTAATTATACAATAGGGTAAAATAGAAAGTTAACATTTAAAATTTTAAGTTGGGTGTAAAAAGAAGTTGCATGGGTTTAAATAAAATTTCCCTAAAATAAATAGAGCACGCCCCTCACCAATGAACTCCGGGTGATCAACACCATGCCAAACAGTCAACAACTTCTCATAAAAATATGAGAAATATAATCCTGCACATAGAGATTACATTTACTATTTAACTACCTTGATTATCAATGAAACTGATACAAAAAATCATTATGTTAAGGCTCATTTGAAATCTCATTTGTAAGAATAGTTTTGCTCAGAAAGCACTTTTATTAGAAGTGTTTCTGATACAAATATGTTTAAAATTCTATTAAAAATTCAAGTGTTTCTCTAAAAAAATACGTTTAGTCTATATATACACGTTTTTTCTTCCAAACATTATCATAAGTGTTTTTAATTGCTATGAGTCCAAAACAGGTTCTAATCTGAGTTACCGACTTAATACTATGCATGGAATATATATGTATATTAATTGTAATAAGACAATTGAATGGAATAAATAAAAATGCAGGATGACACATTAACAGGACAAGTATCTTCTGTGGACAGCCGATAAGAAGAATTTGGATGATCTTCTCAAAGTGGGTGAAGGCCTTTTTAAAAAACCAGTTTGTAGGGTTAATTTGGAGACTGGCAGGGTCGAGCCTTGTAAACACGAGTCCAATGAAGAGGCTCTAACTAGGTACACCATATCAATTACCAAAACCAGATATAAATTTCCATAATTTCTGAGGTAGAATTTTAGTAGTAACAGAAAGTTGTAACTTGTGATTCTGCAGGTTTGCAAGACTATTATCTGAAGAGAAGTGGCTTCGCCTTGCAAGGTCACCCGTTGGACATGCTGCAAATCCTAACTGATATATGGCCCTAGCTATGTGTCTATGACCAAACTAGCCATGATTTTTTTGTTTTTGTTTTTTGGATAAAAATTCATGACTCTTTTGTTTTTGTAATTAATTTGATTGATATTTAAATTGTTGTAATAAAGTCAAGTCGGGGGCAAATGATCCATCTTATTAGATTATTCTTTTAAATTTTTTTTTGTGTTGGAATAGTTTTCTTCCGAATGTGCGAAACGTTAACCTAATGATTGACTCCATTTCGTGATTGAATTTGTTTCTCATAGACCCATCAAAGAATTGATTTTAAAGATTGATTTCGTACCAGCAAGCAACCAAACGAATGAAATAAAAACACAGAAGGCTGAAACAAAATGGAAAAATTATATATTTTGGTCGGAACTGCTCAAACTTTAGTCAGTTGGCAATATCGGGATAGTTAATTAATCTTTTTTGCATAATTTGGTTATATATGAAAAAAATAATCAAATAAAGAATTAAAAGATAAAAAAAATAATCAAATAAAGAATTACAAGATGAAAAATAATCAAAACCAACAAGTTGAGTGGCCTTTATTGGGAGAGAAAATAATGAATTTCAGCACTGAACAACAAGAGTAATTTAATTAGCACTAATTTCACCGTATGGTTAATTATTTTTCTATATAGCGTTATTTTTTTAAAACTAAAAATGTGTTGTGAACATTCCTAGTTTAAGTATGATTGTGTGAATTCTAGATTAGATTTGATTCTAGTTATCCTTTCCTATTACAACTTGTATTACTTGGAGAATAAGGAATATCTTCTCTCCCTTTACTACTATAAATAAAGGCACAATGTGGCACAATGTAGGAGGGATAACAACATACATTCCCTTACAATTCTACAAACACACATCCCTCTTCCCTCTCTCCTGTGTCGCTGGCCCCTCTCCCTTTGTCAGATAAAAATAGACCACAACATGTTATCAGCACGCTCCTACCGCTGCACTTAGTAATCTGACGTTTGAGAGTTTTTTTCTGCATCAAACCAGTTCATCCATATCATCACACAATCAAGTTCTTTCAAAACAACGGCTTTTAACGCGATATTTTGCAAGCCCTGATAGCATGAACATTCACCATGATGCATGACCCAACTTTACGTTTAACGTATTTTAGATTCTACATAAATTGTGTATGCCTCATAACCAAAATTGCTGCAATTATGTGAATTTGATATTTTTCATGAATTGAATCTTACATATGTACATGCATTGAAACTATTATTTGCATATGCATCAAAGTAAATATATGATTCATTGAATTATATATGCATCTAATTGAATTAATGAAAAAAAAGAGAAATTTTTTGCGATTGGGACCTAGGGTTCTTTCGAACCCATGACCACCATCCTGCAGATGGGGTCTCCACGCTAAACCGAGAGCCTGCAGCTCTCATCTTCTCCAGAAAACCCACGGAGCAGAAGATCCAAAACCCCAAACCCAAAAATCCGACACCTTTCATGGTGTCCCCGACCATGGCATGGCCTGCAGCCACAACCTTAAACCTTTGGTTCATATTCCCGACGACCTGAAGTCGTCCTATGTCGGCAATTCAATCGAGATTCACCGGAACCTAGTCGGAATTTTCTCGAAAATTCGATTTCAATTTTTAGGGTTTTATAGTTGTTGAAACGTTCAGATTCTTTTATCTCCGTGGTTGTCCATAACAACCGTGACTCACTTTGAGCCCCAACAACCCCGACACGACCACCTGCAGTGGCGCCGTCGATCAAAACCGGTGTTCTTCCCCGGTGATACACACCCAACACACGCTGGGGTGGTTTTGGTTCAGACCCGATCCCATTAGGGCTTAGATGGACACGATCACAAACACCAGCCCTCCGGGCTTTGGTGTTCTACTTGAAGCCTTGCCATCTAGGCTCCCAGATTGCAGCCCATCCATTTGGCCCATTTTCTTGGCCTGATGAAAAAAAAGGAAATTTTTTGTTTTTCTGGGCTCGCCTGCAGCGGCCCAGCTCGAAAAAAAAGGATTTTTTTTTTGCTGCCTACAGCAGCCCATTTCTCTTGCCATGTCTCCCCGTGAGCCTGCAGCTCACCCATGAGCCACCTGTGGGCTTTGCCCATACTTTAGGCCCCCGAGATTTTATTATTTAATATCTTTAAATAATTTGGGTTTTTATATTTTTTCACCCACATTTTTAATTTGGCCCAACGTCCAAATAATTAATTCAATTATAATTATACAATACTTTTGCATATACTTGTTGCATATTTGTTTGCATATATATTTGCGTTTGCCTGCAGGAATATATGAACCTGAAGTTCATAATTACTTTGAAACCTGAAGTTTCTTATAAACATGCCTTGTTTGAAAACCTGAAGTTTTCACTTCAACATATCACCCATGAAAACCCGAAGTTTTTCATGCAAAATCCAACCAATACATGTTTATTAGAACCTGTATGTTCTACTCATATGTGAATGGATTGATTTTTCTCCATTACCCTAACCACATATTGTCCATCTATTTTGTGATAGGAACATGTCGAATTTGAACAAACTCGACTTCACCGCTTTGGAGGTCTCTGGAAGGAACTACCTCAAGTGGGTTCAAGATGTGAAGCTCTACCTTACTGTAAAGAACTTGCGTCCTGCTTTTGAAAAAGCAATAAATAAACCTGTTGGCGAAGCTGAAAAAGCCACTGCTATGATCTTCATCCGAAGACATATCCATGACACTTTGCAAACTGAATACCTTGCTGAGGAGGATCCACGTGCATTATGGGTCGCTTTGGCTGATCGTTTCGATCACCAAAAGAACATATTCTTGCCTGAAGCAAGACACGACTGGCAGCACTTGCGCTTCCAAGACTTTAAGTCTGTGAATGAATATAATTCTGAAGTTTGTCGAATCCGATCACTTCTCAAGTTTTGCAATGAAACTTTGACTGAAGAGGATCTCTTGGAGAAGACCTACTCGACCTTCTCTGCCTCTAATATTGTCTTGCAGTAACAATATAGAGCTCAGAAGTTCACCAAGTTCTCGGATTTAATCTCTGTTTTACTTCTTGCTGAAAAGTAGAACCAGCTGTTGATGAAGAATCATCAAGCTCGACCTACTGGGGCTACTGATGTGCCTAAAGCACATTATAGCACTAATCAGCACCCAACAAACCAAAAGAGGTGTGGTAGGGGCGACCATAAGCCATCCCACAAAGGTCAACAGAGCCAAGGCCCATCCAAGGGAGGAAACAAAGCCAGAAGCGCCCAAATCTCGCTCCTAAGGCCCCAAACTTCAAGAATAGGGGCAAAGCACCCACAATCATAGATGACGATATGTACTATCGTTGTGGTTCAAAGGACCATTGGTCCCGTGTTTGTCGAGCTCCCAAGAAGGTTGTAAATGAATATCATTCTCGTCGTAAGAAGATTGAATCAAACTTCACGCAAGTGGATGAACCAGAGACTACAAAAATGGAGGTTTCTGACTTTCAGGAGGATACCACCCCTATGGAAGATTAGAATCTTAGACATAGACTTATTTTTAGTTAAAATAAGACCATTAGGGCTGAATTCCACCTAGTGGCCAAACCCCCCTTGTTTTTGGTTGATTTTGAACAATTTTCCTTTATGTTTTTGGATTATTCGTTGGCGATTTGTTTTGGATATTAAGTTTTAATCCTTGAATAAATGAAATTATTTTGAATTGGTATTTGTTTTTATAAACTTTTATGCATGTGACCGATTCAAATTAATTTTTCATTCTAGGTATGATTAGTGGGAAAGTTAGTTGTCTGGCAGATAGTGCAACCACGCACACTGTTTTGCGTGAACGCATCTATTTCACTAACTTCATACCTAATAATGCAGCTCTGACAACCTTCTCAGGCCCATCCAACCTGATAGAAGGATAAGGTAAGGCACGTATAATGTTGTCCAATTGTACAATCTTGACCATTGCTGAGGCACTCTATTCTCCACGTTCCGGAAGAACATTACTCAGTTTCAAGGACACTAGAGATAACAATTACCACGCTGAAACCCACGTAGAAAACGGAGTTGAATTTATGTGCATAACTTCCTACGAATATGGCCAGAAGCGTATTCTCGAGAAGATAGAGCGTATCCTGAGTGGTCTGTATACTACGACCATACGCCCCATAGAATGCCACTATGTGGTCGGCCCTACCACAGGGACCGCGCACGAAATTACATTTTGGCATGATCATTTGGGATATCCTGGACAAATAGCGATGCGCCGTATCCTCGAATCTTCACACGGGTATCCACTAACCCAAAGCTTAGGTTCGATCCATGAAATCGCATGTCAAACATGTTATATGGGAAAGCTTATTACTAAGCCTTCTTATGACAAGATTCGTTCGAATCCTCCCATTTTTCTACAACAGATTCAGGGGGACATTTGTGGACCGATTCAACCTCCATACGAACCATTTAGATATTTTATGGTTTTGGTTGATGCTTCCACACGTTGGTCACACGTGTGCTTGTTGTCCACAAGGAACTCTGCATTTTCCAAACTGTTGGCTCAAGTTATCAAGCTCAGGGTTCACCACCCTGATTATCCGATCAAATCTATTCGATTGGATTATGCTGGAGAATTCACATCTAAAACTTTTGATGACTATTGCATGTCGGTTGAGGTTAAAGTTGAACATTAAGCGCTTACAAATGATTACTCGATCGTTGGTCATACGTACCAAGCTCTCGATTGCTGCTTAGGGCCATGCAATATTGCGCGCAACAAAGTTGGTCCGCCTGAAGCCTGTTGCGACACAACCATTTAGTGCCCTTCAGTTGGTCACCGGATGCGAACCTGACATATCGCATCTCCGCGTCTTTGGTTGTGGGTATATGTGCCGATCTCGCTACCCTTAAGTACAAAAATAGGGCCTCAACGAAGGATGAGAATCTATGTCGGATATGATTCTCCTTCGATTATTCGTTACTTAGAACCTTTGACAGACGATCTGTTTACTGCTCGTTTCATGGAT